CCTGCCAACACAACATGAAATATTTATGTGAACTATTTTTTTTAATATTTTGTAAACATTTTGTAAAATATTTAATTATTACATTAAAATGATTTACAAAAATACTTTAAAAATGTACAAATATTTAAAAAATTTCCTGGACATATTTATATTTTAGAAATAATTCACGAAAAATTTCTGAAATATTTCAAATTTTACAATGAAATATTAATTTTTAATAAATATACGTATATTCAGGCGTTGAAGAGAGAGAAAGCAAAGATGTTGAGTGCAAAAAAAAATACAAGTAAAGCAAACTACAATCATTAATTAAATATACCTACAATTGATTCCTTTAGAATTTTGGGGAATTTTTTTAAATAAAGCCAACAACATTGGAAAAAAGCATAGAAATTAATCGAACTGAATATCGGAGACAATCGATTCTTCGAAAGTCCGCCCTTCCATTTCAAATTCAAAGGGATTGCCAAGGCAACGGCAAGATAAACAACAAACATGACGCATTTCGCGTTTCGTGCAACAGTTTCACTGTGAAAAGAAATTTAAAAATAAATGATAGATAAAAAATATTATTTAAGAAGACAAAATATTTATAATGTAAGACAGTGATTACCGCGTTCGAAGTTTCATTATTCTTTTTTGTAATGATTAGGTAAACTGTCTGCTTGTCCATGCTAGTCTTAAAAATCACTTAGCGATGCCCTTATTCTTCAATAAGTTTTCCCCCAAGAAGACGCCAACTAGAAAGGCATCCGTTTTCTTAGCAAATAAAAATTTAAGCCCTAAACGAATAGAGAAGGAACTTGGCCCGGAAGTGGGCCCTATACGCCTCCGCCTTGGAGATCAGGAAGCTATTTTTGAGGCTGGTCTGTGGATTCCAGGTGAATAACATTCATTTACCAAACAGAAACTTTTGCACTTTTATCTCAAATAATAAACAAATGAATAATTTTGCTTTAGAGTCCGGTAAGGTGGGAGGTACTTTCAAAGAGAATGAAAAATTAAAAAAAGAAGTGAGACGACTGGAGGAAGAGAATAATCTGTTAAAGTTAAAATTTGACGTACTTTTAGATATGGTAATCTTTTTTTATATAGCACACCTTTGAAAAAATTATAAATTTATTTTTTAAATAATATATAATATATAAGATATATAATAAAATTATAATACACTGAATATATAGTGTATATATATATATATATATATATATATATATATGTATACAAGGAAAAAGTTTATTAATATTAAGACTAAAAGCAGAACGTTAATAAAAGTATATAATGATAAGTATCAACAGTTACATTTTGTGTTAATTTTTTACAGTTAACACAAACAACTGCCGAAGTTCACTCACAAAAGGAAGAATTAGAGAAACTAAAAAATTTTTCTCTTAACAAACGAGTTGTCGGTTGATCCATTAAACATTGTTACTTGCTTACTAGGATATAAATAGAAACTAGAAAACTACAATATAAGTAGGAATTATAAAATAACAATAATTGTGTGTGTATCAAACTTTTTTCCATTAGAAGTCTTAATACTTGTAAGAGTTACAAGGCAGAAATCAACTCTTACAGATAAAAACCGTGTTTGACACTTCTCCATTTTAATTAAGCTTTTTATAACGCTAATCGTTACAACTGTATATTATTTATGTTCCTGTTTTCGAAAAAATTTTTCGAAGTAACTCATGAGAGAGACATAACGTTCGAAATTGCCTATATTTGGACATTTGTATCTCATGTGACCTGTGAAAGAATATATAACGCAAAATGTAAAATATAATATGTACAATTTGAATATAATAATAAATGTAATTGACAGGGTTGGGTAGTGCTAAATTAAAAAGTTAAAAGTTCAGTTAAAAAGTTAAAAAGTTAATTAATTTTAACTTAACTTAGTTACATTTTAGACTCCTAA